CCCCAAAACCCCAAAACCCCAAAACCCCAAAACCCCAAAATTCTGTTAAAGTATTGATAGATATGAAATCTTAATTTAAATTTTCAATCAAAACTGCAGAAGCCCCACCTCCTCCATGAGATACAGATGCTAACCCAATTGAGGCTCCTCTTTGCCTCAGGATGTTTACTAAAGAAACAATCATCCTGTTCCCGCTTGCTCCTAAAGGATGGCCCAATGCTATTGCTCCTCCATTAACATTAACCTTATCAGGGTTAAGCTCAAGTAACTTAATATTTGCAAGAGGAACTGAGGCATAGCTCTCATGAATCTCATGAAAATCAATATCATTCAGATCCATTCCTGCCTTTTCAAGAATGTCTTCGGTAACCTTAAAATTTCCAATTGAGAAGTCTATCGGAGAGACTGCGGAATCTTCATAAGCAATAATCCTTGCTAAAGGCTTCATTCCCAATTCTTTAGCATATTCTTCTTCCATCAGGACTATTGCTGAAGCTCCATCATTCAATTTAGCAGAACTAGCAGCGGTTAAAGCACCATTTTTAGAGTATATTGGCATTAAAGCTGGAAGACTTTCTGGATAATATCTCTTACATTCTTCATCTTTGTTGATTCTTATAGTTCCTTTGGGAGTATCTCTGATAATATCTACTATTTCCCATTCAAGAAGTTTACTTGCTTGGGCACCCCTAGCCCTTTGATAGGATTTCTTCGTCCATTCATCTAGAACTTCTCTTCTAATTCCTAATTCAGCAATGATTTTCTCTGCTAAATTTCCTAAATGCAGATGCTCAGTATTCTGTGTCATTTCAGTGTAACCATCAAATAAAATTGAGTCTAGGTATTGCATGTGCATGTTGTTGATAGGCTCTCTAATATAAATATAATGAGGAGATCCAGTCATACTCTCCATTCCTCCAGCTATAACTATCTTTCTTTTACCACTTCTAATTGCTTGTGCTGCTAAAATAGTTGCTTTCATTCCAGAAGCTCATCCTTTATTTACAGTAGTGCAGATGGTGTCTTCACCAAGACCTGCTCCTAATGCTGCTTGAGTCGCTGGGGCTTGTCCAAGAGCTGCTTGGATCACATTTCCCATGTAAACCTCCTCAATTTGACTGTGCTCCAACCTTGTATTTGCTAAAGCTCCTCTAATTGCGATAGATCCCAAGTTTGTAGCAGAGAAGGATGCTAAAGAGCCCATAAAAGTTCCAATAGATGTTCGTTTACATCCTACAATGACTGCATTTTTGAAACTCATTTTATAATATTTTAGATATTCACAGATTTGGGGTTTTGGGGTTTTGGGGTTTTGGGGTTTTGGGG